ACTGAGCCTCTAGTAAAATCCAAGTTATTGAACAGGTAATGGGACAGATAGACTTAGAAAAAAAAAAGTACTTCTTACCTGCAAAAAGAAGCAAAGTAATTGAAAGCATCTCACCAAAAGTCCTAGAGGAGATTCTCAAATGTTCTCGAGATTGACAGTATAAATGGTAGAGGTAGCACTAAAAGCTATATCATATGTCCCATTTAAGATAAAAGTTTGCTCTAAATTGTATTGTTTCAGGGTATGGTTTTGCAAACATTGTCAGAGTGTGAGATGAGTAGTGTTTCCAGATGAAAGAAAATATAAGGATTAGATCACAATTTAGGATGGTATTTATAGACTGTAAATTGAGTTTGTTTTCCAATATTATGTGAAATCAGAATCCATTTTAGGTAGAAATTCATGTTCTTTCTTGTGTGAGCAAAGAGGGTCTTTTAATTTGGTTGGCATCATTTCCTTTCTCTGCATTATTTGAAAAGGAAAAATATGTGATGTATTTGAATGATATCTAAAAATAAGTGAGGGGGAATTAAATTAGATGGAATATTGCTGGAATGTGTATATGCATACCCTTTTTCATCATTAAGATCTAAGATTAATATTAATATTTGTCATATATATCTTAACTTCAACGAACATATTTCACTACAGATAATCACATATTTTTATGGTGATTTAAATCCTTTAGGTACCCTTTCATTTTACTGTAGGTTATAGTTCCTTTAATTGATCTGCCAAAACAGAACTAGGGTGCCCTTTTCTCCAGCCTTTAATAGCAATTTTTTCACTGCCCTCCAGCCTCCACTAACAGGTCTCGGAGGGCCCTTTAAGGCCATTGTCTGCTGCTTCATTTGAAAAATAGCAGATGTTTTAGGTTTTTGTTAAAGCAGCACTCCACTTCCAGGTACCAATTTCTGTTTTGCTTTTCTATTGCTGTGTAACAGACCACTACAAAGCTTAGTGGTTTACAAAAAAACGACAGTCATTTATTCTGAGTCTTTCGTCAGGATTGGTGGCTTTCCCTTTTGCTCCTAACCACCATTCACCAAGTCTGACTTGCCACAGAAGTTTATGTTATATGAGGGTGAGAAATAGCTGATTCCAAAACTGGGGCATGGAAGTTGCAAGATAAGACTGGAACATCTTGTTGTGCCAGAATATAAGGAAATGCTAAAAAAAGAAAATGAAGATGGTATATCAAAAAGATACAGGAGCTAACCTAAAATTGGAAGGGGAATATCATATATTAAAAACATTTTAGAGGAGAGAACCAAGATGGCGGCGTAAGGTATAGACCTGTGCGTGCTGCCTCCCACAACAACATTGAAACTACCAACTCTAAGACAAACAGCTATCATTTAGAATCATGAGAAAGCTGACCCAGTGGAAGTTCTACAACTGGAAGGAAAGAAAGAAGAGCATTGAGACTGAGTAGGATGTACAGAGGTGCCAAGAACAGAGGTATGGAGTTGCATGCCAGGCGGGCTGCAACTGGATGCACGTTTCTTTTCAGTCGGAAGGGGTTACAAACTCTCCAATCCACTGAGCTTGTTTGGGGCGGGATTCTGAGGTCCCAGACCCCTACAGGGAGAGGCGGGACGGCCTTGCAGCGGGTCGGAAGCAAGGGTGGCTTTCTCGCCGCCGAGCTGCCCGCTGGCACTCGGAGACGCGGAGACGTGGAGTTGCGGAGAGGCAAGGAGTCGTGGAGACACCATTGCTGTTTGCTCCGCCCTGGTGATTCCTGGAGACCCCGACCTACTCAATTTACATCCCTGCCCAAGCTGTGCCAGTGGCACAAAAGGAACCACCTGCGCTTTTGCAGCCTAACCCAACAAATTGCAAATTTCAACTCCTCACATCCATAAGGGTCACACTTAAAAAGCAGAATCAGGTTCGGAGGAAGCCGGAGCCTGACCCGACTGGGCCGGCGACATGGAACCGCTGTACCAGCAAACACACAAGCAGGTCCACCAGATCCAGTCTCACATGGGACGCCGAAAGACGGCAAACAAGCAGTCTGTGCACTTAGTAGAAAACGAAATCCAAGCAAGCATACCAGGTAATCAGCCAGGAAGAATGCCTGGAGATTTTGTCCAGCAAGGAGCCGCCCAACAAAAGACAGAATGCCAAACTTCGTGTTGACCAGTTAACACATTGTATGCAGTACACGTGTTTATACGTTTTATGTATTTATACATTCTACCAGTGTTGTGGAGCGCAGGACACGTATTAATACGTTTTTTATAGACTAGCGGTAGAATGCGGGTAACGTATAAATAGGTAAACTAAAGTTATCATAATTTTACTGAATGTTGCCATTTGTGCAAAAAACTACCCACAAACAATGTGTTAAAGTATGATGTCCAGCACCTGCAGACTGCTCTCAGAAACTTCCAGCATCAGTGATACGCAAGGGAGCAGTAGGAGAGACAGCGAGAGGAGCTTCTGACTAGCACCTTCACCCCCAACGTGGGATGCGGCGCCCCCTGCGAGGCTGCGACGGCCCCTGGGAACCGGCGGAACCACAGGAGCCACCGAGCCGGCTTCGTTGACGGCCCGCGAACCAGAGCGCAGCCCCAAGCACAACTATCACCCAAAGGGCGAGAGGGGCGAGAGCAGCTGTAATGTTGCTTTCTCCTCACTTTTGGGAGCGAAATCCTCATTTTAAACATAAGAGGACACATTATTTTAAGAAGCCGTTACGTGTGTCCGTACCCTTTCTAAGTAGAACGTGAACAAGTCGTGAGAGACCTTTCGACTTGTGGGACATGTGGTGGATGGAAATAGCTACATTTTCCATGTGTTTGACCTTTGACCCGGCGACAAAAAGCGTACACCTATGGATGAGGACTGTGGGGGTAAGGGCAGAGGGTGAGGTGGAAACTGGGTGGAGGGGAGCTATGGGGGAAAAAAGGGGGAAAAACTGTAATAATCTGAACAATAAAGATTTATTTTTTAAAAAAACATACTTCTGAATGGAAAAAAAGTTCAGTGTCATTGTTTGATATACCTAACAAGACTGTTTCCTAACTTCATTTAGTGACTATCACTTCAGAGTAAAGCCAGCTCTGGGGCTCACAGGCTAGTGGGACCTGTTAGGGGGTATGTGAGTCTGGGATCCAGATGAAAACAGGAGGTAAAACTAATGGGGCAATAATCAAAACTTGAGTCCTTAGAAAGAGTTGTATCTGGGGAAATGGTGGTGGTGGATGGGGGGAGGGGTTGTTTCAGACCTTGTAGAAGTTGCTTCCATTGTTTTGGTGTTAATTCTAGCAGCTTGAGCTTCGAGTATGAGGAAAGGTATGAATTGGCAACGTAAAATAATTCACTTAAAGGAACTCCAACAGCTAGAGAGAGGATTAACAAAGATTATCTAGAACAAGTGACGTCAGTGAAATAGAACTATTGGAAGAGATAGATGACAACTTTAACAAGCAAAACAAATTATCCTGAGATTCTCAAGAGAGACAAAGCTATGTTTCTAATCATAGCATAAAAGAATTAAATAGTGAGGAGAAAACTCTTCTATATATTAATTTGTGGGGAGGATGATTATTGTTGATACTCAAATTCATGGTCTGGAACACTAATTAGAGTATATCAAAACAGAAAAGAAATATAAAGGAGAAAGAGCACATTGGGGAGATGCAATAACTAAAGATATAATTGAAGAGAATTTCCCTGGTTTAAAGAAGGATTGAAAAAACCTACTGAGTTCCAGACTAGAAGGTTGGGGGTGGTTCAGAGACAAAAAAACAACAACAACAAGCCGCTTACACAGGCAAAATGATCAGGTATGTGCTGGACTACTCAGTGTGACACTGGAAACTAGAAGGTAGTAAAATAACATCTACAGATTCTAATACCTATTTTTAGACAAAATATAATTCACTTGTTATGGTGAAAGCAAGATATTTGCAGATATGTAGGAATTCAGTCCTCTGTTAGATAGAGGAAAGTTCTCAGTAAAGAGATCTTACCAAATAATCCTAACAGAGATTTTAAGATGGTGCAGGAGAAGAAAAAACAGTGGTGAGCAAATTAATCTCACAGTCTATTTTATTAAATCTAAATGGGTAGTGGTAGAGTGACTGTATTTCCGCACATTCCTTTGTCCTCTGCATTTCCTGAAAATTTGCAGCTGATCCAGAAGCTTGATTAGATTTGGTTCTTGTCTCTGTGTCAAGACTAACAGTGATATTCTGTTCTTTTAGTGGGAGGTATATAATTTCTGATTGTCTATAAAGAATTTATTGAGCATTGGAAAATTGGTGATATTCTATCATTTTTCATTTATAACTAAAACACATGTTATAAATGAAACATTTGGTTGCTCAGTTCATATAGAAAAGGCAAGATAAATGTTTAATTTTCCTCTTGGTCAGCGTGCAAGATAATGAATTGGTTCTCTGTTACCTTTTGGAGGTGGAGGAGAATATCTCATTATCAGCTTGTATAATTCAATATGTAGGCTAGCTTTCAATCTGTTACAATTATTATCTTTATTGAAGCTCAAATTGTTTGGCAAGTGGGGAGCAAAGATGGTCCCTGAGTGCTTTGACATGAGACCCTGTATATCTTTGACTGGTAAAGAAAGAAACAGTATTTTTTGCTTGGTTTTGTTTTGCTTTGCTTTTTAAAAAAACCTCAGAATGTTGTCTGTTCTTTTGCAAAGGTGGATTTTAGGGATTCATTCGTTTCCTTGGATATTGGGTAGTTAGTATGATCTTTTATGTAATTTGTTGGCAGATATGCCTTAAACTTTGTGTTACTTGCAAAGAATACTGGTTTTATTTTTTAGTATATGTGGAGTCTCAAGAAGAATCAGCATTTCCCAGCAACAGGTGTAGAAACATAAATTAAAATGGTTTATTCAATTAATAAAAATTTGAATGTTTATTTTGGATCAATCTCCACAGTAGGAACTCTTGGTAATTCAAACATTCACAAAAATGCCTATTTAACATTTCAATAAATTAAGTTCCAAGGATTGATTTTTAAACTTGATTTTTTTCTTTCAGATCTGTCACGAAATCGCCTCTCAGAAATTCCCATAGAAACATGTCATTTTGTTTCTCTTGAGAATCTCAACTTATACCAAAATTGTATTCGGTATATACCAGAGGCAATTCTAAATCTACAAGCTCTAACATTCTTAAATATTAGGTAAGATGTTTCTTTTTTTCTTTTTCTTTTTTAAATATTTGATTTTATGTGACATTTTCATTTTTCTGCTCCTTTTTACTAAAGTTTACATTATCTTTTCATATCAGAAGTTTCTATACATGTTCTTGGGCTAAATTAACAGTATTTCCTATGTCCCTCTAGTTTCTCCCTCTGTCTTTGCAATAATTGACAAATTCTAATAGTCATTAGCCTAATAGGCTTGCAGTGGTTCTCCAAATACTTGGTTTGGTTCTTGTGATTATGTATTTTTATGTATTCGGTTCTGAATGTATAATTGCATTTCAGCTCATGTACTCCATTTTTTTCACATCTTATAGAATTGTTTTGTTATTTTATTATTATAAGTTTTATTGGAGAAAATGAGCAAATGAAATATCCTTTGGAAATATTTTTATATGTAATCATTTTATTATACAGTTTACATATTTCTAAAACTCATTTTGCCTCTTTGTATATACTGGAATGATTATGAGGGAAATATACCCTATTTTTAAGTCATTTTTTTTTCTTAATATAAATTAACTTCAAGAAAATAATATGTTGTACTATATAGCACTTTATTATTTACAAAGGTGTTTTATGGTACAAGGTAGAGAAGTTAAGATTCTCAATTTACAAATGAATCTATGTAAGATGCAGATAGGTTAAATGCTATGCCTAAAAATTATAAAGCTCACAAGTGAGGAAAAGTAGGCTAGGAATCAAATCTTAAATTCTATTTGTTCCTTGCAAGACTTATATTTGTTATTTTACTGTTTATAGAGTGGGAAAGATGGGAATTTTTTTCTTGAGTAATGGGCTCAGAATCTTCTTTTTTTCTTCTTATCCATTTTAGTCGGAACCAACTGTCAACCCTGCCAGTACATTTGTGTAATTTACCATTGAAAGTCTTAATTGCTAGTAATAACAAATTGGTCTCACTTCCAGAAGAAATTGGACATCTCAGACATTTAACAGAACTTGTAAGTTAATATTGTATTTTTTTATTGTTCCATACACACACACACACACATCTCCCCATAGTTATACCCTATTCTTTCATATGGTAAAGATCCATTATTGCGGTGTATTTTTTAGTTATTTTCAAGTATTGATAATGAAGTCTCACTGATTGATCAGTACTCAAGGGCTTCAGTACAGAATTAAGAAGGAGCTGAAAGTGCAGGTCTAACAGGCTCACATGGAATGGGGAAAGGTCATTAAGTTAGGTTCTAATCAATATTAAGTGATTTCTGTTATTAAACTTTTGAGGGATAAGTTAATTCATTTGAACTTTTCAAATTAAATCTTGTTAATATCAATATTCCCATTTTTGGTTAACTCCCATAGGGCTGTGGTCAGCAAACCGGGGCTCACGAGCCACATGTGGCTCTTTGGCCCCTTGAGTGTGGCTCTTCCACAAAATACCACGTGCGGGCACGCACGTATAGTGCGATTGAAACTTCGTGGCCCATGCGCAGAAGTCGGTTTTCGGAAAGGAGATAGCCGAAACAAGTATACAAGACGAGTGTGAATGGGAGAGTTGGAAGAGGTCGAGTCGACCTCAGCGAACGTACCTCAATCAGATTGAGGACGTTCTTAGCAAAGGCCAGCTTAGGAGTACCCTAATTAAGTTAATAACAATGTACCTACCTATATAGTTTAAGTTTAAAAATTTGGCTCTCAAAAAAAATTTCAGTTGTACTGTTGATATTTGGCTCTGTTGACTAATGAGTTTGCCGACCACTGGCTTAGCATAATGGACACCACAGAGGTCAGACTTATCTCTTTTACCTTATATGCTATCTTTAAAACCTATCTCCCACTCTAAAGTAAGCTATTCTTTTTTTAAAAAATATATATATCTCTATTGATTTCAAAGAAGAAGGGAGAGGGAGAGAGAGATAGAAACATCAGTAATGAGAGAGCATCATTGATTAGCTGCCTTCTGCATGCTCCACACTAGGGATCGAGCCCACAACATGGGCATATGCCCTGACCAGGAATCAAACCGTGACCTCCTGGTTCATAGGTCAATGCTCGAGCCAGCCATGCTGGCTGGGCAAGCTATTCTTTACTGCCTTCTATTTCTAAGATGTTTAACCCTCACCTACCACTCCTTGTTACTCTTGAGTACTTTTGTTACAGGCATGGCAATAAGACTTTTTGAATCTCCATAGTAACATTATTAATTGAATACTATAATTATCATATTACAGTTGAGGAAACTAGCACTCAGATAGGTTAAGGCCCAAGGTTCCATAATTGAAGTAGAATTTAAAACCACTGTGCCTTAACTCCTAAGCCATGTTTCATATTTCTGAAATGGTCAGATGCAGTTATGCCCATTGAGATTTGGGAGTATAGTTCCATGTACGTTTATTAATAACTAGAGGCCTGGTGCATGAAATTCATGCATGGGGGTGAGGGGGTGTGTGTCCCTCAGCCAAGCCTGCACCCTCTCCAATCTGGGACCCCTCAAGGGATGTCCATCCTGGTGGATCGGGCCTATATAGGCAGTCGGACATCCCTCTCACAATCCAGGACTGCTGGCTCCCAACTGTTCGCCTGCCAGCCTGCCTGATTGCCCCTAACTGCTTCTGCCTGCCAGCCTGATCACCCCCTAACCACTCCCCTGCCAGCCTGATTGATGCCTAACTGCTCCTCTGCTGGCCCGATTGCCCCTAACTGTCCTCCCCTGCCAGCCTGGTCACCCCCAACTGCCCTCCACTGCTGGCCCAGTCACTCCTAACTGCCCTCCCTGGCCAGCCTGGTTGCCTCTAGCTTTCCTCCCCTGCCAGCCAGGTCCCCCCCAACTGCCCGCTCCTGCAGGCCTGGTTGCCCCTGTCCTCCCCTGCAGGCCTGGTCCCCCCCAACTGTCCTCTTCTGCAGGCCTGGTCGCCTCCAACTGCTTTCCCCTGCTGGCCTGGTTGCCCCTACTGTCCTCCCCTGCAGGCCTGGTCCCGCCCCAACTGCCCTCCCCTACAGGCCTGGTCATCCCCAGCTGCCCTCCCCTGTCAGTTTGGTTGCCCCTAACTGCCCTTCCTTGCCAGCCTGGTCACCCCTAACTGCCCTCCCCTGCTGGCCTGATTGCCCACAGCTGCCCTCCTCTGCTGGCCATTTTTGACCACATGGGAGCAGCCATCTTGTGTGTTGGAGTGATGGTCAATTTTGCATATTACCTCTTTATTATCTAGGATAAAGATGAACTTCACAAAAAACAAACACTGTACACATATACTCTAATTGGACCACATATTAGCTAACTTTTTCAGGTAGATTATGAATAGAAAGGTCACGTAAAAATTCACAAATATATTAAAGCTAGAATCTAAATACTAGACCACTATTTATTTAGATCCAATTAGATCTAGGAAATAGTCCAAAAATGTTATGTTTGTTTGCATTTCTTCAGAGCTTGGGTTAATAACAGGAACTAATAGTAAGTTATACTCATGATTGAAATTCTGATTTTCAAATCTTTTAAACTTTCTTTTTCTACTTATTGAATCCTCAATACTTAAAATATAGATATGTCTTGCAAAAGGCACTTTTAAATTTCTACCAGAGATGTGAGTTGATATGCTATTACACAAACAGCTTGTGGCAGAGTAACAGTAATCTTAAACTTAGTAATTCATATTTGATGGTCTTTCTGCACCATTCTTACTCATTTCTGAGTGAAAGTAAACTATCTTTCAACATATACATTTTCTGAGAGAAATATTATAGATTGCTATTACCTCTGGCTCAGGCTCAATTTTCCAACCCTTTCAATTTCTTTTAGAACTCTTTTAACTTTTATGCCTAGAGTATTAGACTAAGAAGTCTAGCTTCTGATTCTACTTCTGTCACTAATTGATAGAAAAATAAAAGTAAAAATTTTTTTCTAAAAACGTTTGGGAAAATTTAAAAATAATATTTGAAGCTTGTTGAATTTTTTGATAAGTGGTCTTTTCTAATAGTAAATCTGTTAATAGATTTTTTACTCCTATATTGGAGGAATTTTAAGTGTTAATGTGGCATCTTGACACTTATTAACCTAGGCAGCTACACATGGGTGTATAAATTATTCTGGCTGGCCTCAGAATTATGGAATCCTGGATATATCAGGATTAGAACCTAAAGTCATCTCTTTTTAGAACCAGTGGAATCAGAATCAAGCTATTACCAAGATACCAGAAGGCCTACCTAATACATATATTGGAACCTGGTTGATCAGATGCTAATAAAGCAGTATATATTTTTCCATATCCTTTTGAGTTACGTGTACTTTGTCATTTCTCCTCACTTTGAGTTTGATAGTAATGATATGAGTCATCTTCAATGTATTTTTATTTTATACTAGAGGTCCGGTGCACGAAATTCATGCACTGGTTGGAGGGGGTGTCCCTCAGTCTGGCCTGCGCCCTCTTGCAGTCTGGGAGCCCTTGGAGGCAGGAAAAGGCTCCAGCCACGGCCGCTGTGTTCACCAGCTGTGAACCCAGCTTCTGGGTGAGCGACGCTCCCCCTGTGAGAGTGCACTCACCACCAGGGTGCAGCTCCTGTGTTGAGCGCCTGCCCCCTGGCCGTCAGTGCGCATCATAGCGATTGGTCGTTCTGCTGTTTGGTCGATTTACATATTAGCCTTCCATTATATAGGATTTTTGAACAGTTGAACTGGTATTTTAAAAATATGATTTTTAAAAGTGTATGTGGAATTTTTATTATTAAAATTGATTTAAGAGAGAGAGAGAGATTGCTTTGTTGTTCCACTTAAACTTTCTGTATGTGCCCTAACTAGGGAGCGATCCTGCAACCTTGGCATATCAGGATGATGCTCTAACCAACTGAGCTAACTTGCCAGGGCTTGAAAATAGGGGGACCCTTTCCCGCTCCCCACGTGGGAGTCTGTTCTGTGGGACTCTTTTCCCCTCCCCACGTGGGAGTCTGTACTTGTTCTTCAATAAATCTCTACCTTTCCTATACTATCTTCTGTTGTGGATTCATTCTTCGACTCTGGCGGACAAAGAATCTGGGATCCAGTTAAAAAATTCTGTATCAGAAATAACACAGGCCAGTAAGCCAGGACAAGTGGAATAGGGAAACTGTGATGTTAAGTAGCAGTTTGGAGTCATCTAATAAATTCTATCTCCCTTAAACCAAGGACACTTACGAGTAAATGATTTGTCCTAACCGGTTTGGTGGCTCAATCCCCAGTGTGGAGCGTGCAAGAGGCAAAGGCAACCAATCAGTGATTCTCTTTGAGCATTGATGTTTCTAACTCTCTCTTCCCCTTCCTTTCCTCTCTGAAATCAATAAAAATATATTTATTTAAAAAAAGAAAATAGGATATTCTTTCAAATAATTTTATCATAACTTTTATCATTTTTTCTTCTAGCTTTATTAGAACAATATAAAATAAAATATTGCCCTACATCGATGCATTTATACTTTTTCCTTTTTTACCTTTTCACCTGCATTTTTATTGATCTGATATTCTATGCTTACCTGCTTCTTAAATCATTTAATTTTAATTCTCATAAAATTAATGTAGATATATGTAAAATGTATTGAATCAGTCAGAAGACTACATTTTTATAATTAAATGCTATTAAAAACTATGGGATTATTCTTGGACACAGAATCATAATTTTTTTTTATAACCAGGAGGGACTGCAAGTATCTTGTCCAACCTCATTTTACAGATAGTTTAAAGCAGGCAAGTTTGGAATTTTAAAATAATTATTTTGTATCTTTTTGAAATAGGACGTGAGCTGCAATGAAATTCAAACAATGCCTTCTCAAATTGGTAATTTGGAGGCCTTGAGAGACCTCAACCTCAGAAGAAATCACTTGGTGCGTTTGCCAGAAGGTAAGAAACTGTGAAATAATTGTTTTATTATTATTTATCTTTTTACTTTAAAGATTGCTGAGACTGATGGCCATAACAAAAATGTATGGAGTTACAGCCAATGTTTGAGATGTAATGGTTTACTTAATATGTTATCTCTTCCATTGTGAATTTTAAAAGGTAGACTTTCCAGTGATAAGTTCCAGTAACTGTTCACCAGTGATTGTATTTTTAAATCCTGTCATCTGATGTAATTGATGACTCAGGGTTGGGTCACTGGAAGTTTCAGTAAGCATAACTACTTGGGAGCACATATAACATTTTTGATAGGGGATAGTTTAGTAAAACAAAAAATATTCCTGTAATTAGCTCTGACTTAAAAATGGACTTTACTTGAACTTAATTAACTTTATTCTTCATTGGAAATGTTCAAATAGAGGCTAATTAACCACTTGGAGATGATGTATAGAAGAGTGGATAATGAATAGAGTGGGAGACTGCAGTAGGAGACTGACTATAAGCTCTGGTGTATGTATTTGAATGATAAAAATGATTAAACAAATTAGTGTAATTAGCATTCTTTTTTTAAATATATCTTACTGATTTTTTACAGAGAGGAAGGGAGAGGAATAGAGAGTCAGAAACATCGATGAGAGAGAAACATCGATCAGCTGCCTCCTGCATGCCCCCTACTGGGGATGTGCCTGCAACCAAGGTACATGCCCTTGACCAGAATCGAACCTGGGACCCTTCAGTCCACAGGCCAATGCTCTATCCACTGAGCCAAACCGGTCAGGGCAGCAGTCTTTTAAAAATACAAATTCATGAAATAAGAAGCTATAAAAGAAAGTGAAAATAAGGAGAATCATTAATTTATTAGATCAGATATTTCTTTAATTTTATTATGAAAAATTTCCCATATATAAGTGAGAGAGCACAATGAATCACCCAGCTACAGTAGTCATCAGCTCATCTGTGTGCCCACCCACTTTCCCTTACTTTACACTCTAGATTAATTTGAAACGACTTACAGAAATTCATCTGTAAACATTTCAGAATGCTTATAAAAAAGATAAGGAATGTTCAGAAGGTAATGACAATTATTCTCTAAATTCTTTGACAAAAATGACTTCTAGTGTATAGTAAATATTGAATTAACTAATGATGCTTTTGCTTTACTGTATAATCCAAATGTTTACATCATTTGATCCAGTATATTTACTGGATATTAAATATTATACAGCAGTATGAAATTTAGTTCTAACATACTAGTGTGGCTCTGTCATTTTGGATCCCAAGTAAGCATCTCCAAAAGTGACTTGCCAGTCCAATTTAATACACTTACTGCAACCACACTACCCTGAAATCCTGCTTATCTTTCCTCTCACTAGACTTGTATCTTCAGGGCCTTCATTTTTTCCTAGTTCTGCTTTCTATCACCTCTGGAATGTGAATGAAGGCCTCAGCAGAACTGACCAAAGTCATGACCCAGGGCCTTGTAATCCCAAATTTTTATCTAGGATTACCCCTTAACTCAGGACCCATCTACTATGGTTGATCTTTAAAGGCTTACTAAATAAGTCTGTAATAATACTGCCTTAATGTGAAATCAATTAATGGAAACAGTGGATTTTAGTGAAAATGAAAATTTGAGGTTTCAGATGACAACTACAATTTAATAGTTTTATCATCTAATATGTTCCTATGTCATATTTTGAATGCATATTACCAAGAAAATTGTGAACTTAACAAATAGTTTCAAAAAAAATTTTTTAAATCAGTTTATCTTGTAACCTCACCATATTCAGTTAAACTGAGATAGCCAGAAAACTTGATTCCAAGTTAGTGTGGAAGTTCATGTTAATTAGGTGGTCTCTAACATAATTCAGTAGATAAAATATTGTATCCTTTGTTATATTGCCATTTTGATTTTAACTAATTATAATTTTTAGCAAATAATATCCAAGCATTCATCTACACTAATAAAAGAGAAAGATGCAAATTAACTGTACCTTTGTGACACCCACCAGCCCATCAGGAGTGGGTATGCAAATTAACCCAACAAAGATGGCAGGTTAATTTGCATACACAGGCGCCAGGTGGCCGGGGGCAGGGTGGCTGCTTGCATGCACACTGGCACCAAGTGTCCTGGGTCTCAGGGACAGGCATCCTTGGGACCCAGGCCGCTCTGAGCCTGTAGGCCCATGCGTAGGCCCAGAACAGCCGAAGTCCTGGAACGACCGACCCCTGGCCACACCAGGCCTACGCGTGCAGGCACCAAGCAGCTGGGGGCGGGGCAGGAACGCCCTCCGTGTCGCCATGGCGGGCATGTGGGCAGAGCACACATGCTGAGCGGCCAAGGGGCGGGGCGGGACACCCGCCGCGCGACACGGAGGGCGCTCCCACCCGCCAGCTGCTCCGGGCCTATGCATGCAGGCACCGAGTGGCCGTGAGCGTTCCCACCCCCCTGGCTGCTCCAAACCTACCCACGCAGGCGCTGAGCAACTTGGGTCCCGGGGACGCCACTGGAGTGTCTGGTCCTATCAGCCCGGCCAGGGGGTGACTGAAGTTCCCAGTCCTTTGTGTTTCTTCAGCCCCAGGACTGGAAATGAAAACCAAGAGTGTGGGGAGCACCAGGAATTCTGGGAATCGTAGTTCTGATGGCAGCCCCTGGCCGGAAGCGGAAGCCCAGAGCACGGGGAGCACCAGGAATGCTGGGAATCGTAGTTCTGGTGGCAAACGCATTGTGGGATTTCCTAGACACTTGCAGTGTTTCTCAACCTTCCTAATGCTGCGACCCTTTAATACAGTTCCTCATGTGTGGTGACCCCCAACCATAAAATTATTTTTGTTGCTACTTCATAACTGTAATTTTGCTACTGTTATGAATCGTAAAGTAAATATCTGATACTAGAGGACTGGTGCACAAAAATTTGTGCACTCGGGGGTGGGGGAATCCCTTAGCCCAGCCTGCGCCCATTTGCAGTCCAGGACCCCTTGGGGGATGTCCACCTGTTGACTTAGGCTCACTCCCTGGGGGATCAGGCCTAAGCTTGCAGTCAGACATCCTTCTGGCAGCCAGGGAGCCCTCGGGGGATGTCCAACTAAAGGCTTAGGCCCCCAAGGGATCGGGCCTAAACTGTTAGTTGGACCTTCTTAGTGCTGCCACGGAGGTGGGAGAGGCTCCTGCCACCACCTCTGTGCTGGCCAGCCATGAGCCAGCTTCTGGCTGAGTGGCACTCCCTATGTGGAAGTGCACTGACCACCAGGGGCAGCTCCTACATTGAGGTAGTTGCATCATAGCAACTGGCCATTCTGCTGTTCAGTCAATTTGCATATTAGCCTTTCAGTATTATTATATAGGATGTCCCTATTTCCCCCCATTTGCCCCCTCTACCCAGCTCTTGCCCCCCACTTCTCTTTGGCCATCACCATACTGTTGTCTGTGTTTATGTGTTGTGCATATATTTTCTTTGGCTAATCCCTTCTTTAAATTCACTTCTTTAAATTTTTATTTTCAGATAAGTGCTTATAACTGCACTATTATATATTTCCTATTATATCATTTAGAATTAATATATGTTTTAATTGAACCCTTGTAAATTTTAGCACAATTTAATAAATTATGCTAGAAGCAATTAGGAGATTTTTCATGTAATGCAGATACATTTCAATTAATATTTTATTTTTAATATTTTAATTTGTAATCTCATACATGTAAAAAACAACAACTATAAAATAGTACAGCATATTGTATGTACCCTTCACCCAGTTTCTTAGATGTTAATAATTTAAACATAACCAGTATACAAGTAACAAAATTTGGAATATATTTTTCTTATAATCTCTCTTTTTTTTAAATATATTTCATTGACCTTCCACAGAGAGGAAGGGAGAAAGACAGAGAGCCAGAAACATCGATGAGAGAGAAACATCGATCAGCTGCGTCCTGCACATCCCCCACACGGGATGTGCCCGCAACCCAGAACACGCCCCCGACCGGAACCGAACTCGGGACCCCCCAGTCCGCAGGCCGACGCTCCATCCACCGAGCCATACCGGCCCCGGCTTCTTATAATCTCTTTACTGTTATTTAATCCATTTACTTTGTTTTTGTTAATCTTCACCCAAGGATATTTTTCCATTGAATTTTCGAGAGAGTGAAGGGAAAGGGAGAGACACATTGATTGGTTGCCTCCTGCACATGCTCTGATAGGGACTGGGGATCAAGCCAGCAACTGAGGTACATTCCCTTGACTGGAATCTAACCTGGGACCCTTCAGTCCAAGGGCTAATGCTCTACCCACTGAGCAAAACAGGCTACAGCTTAATTCATTTACTTTTAATTTATATGTGTCTTTATATTTAAAGTGGGTTTTGTTTTTGATTCACCCCCCTAATCTGTCTTTTAATTGGTGCATTTATGCCACTGTCTTTCAGAATGCTTACTGATAGAGTTACTGCCATATCTGGCGGCTTCTGGAGCTTCCTGGGGCTTGCAGGGCCGGCGCGCCTGTGGCCCGGGACCGGATTGGGTTCCGGGCGGCAAGCAAGCGTGATTAGCCAATGGGAGGCATAGCAAAGGTAAAGCCAATTACCAAGTTTGGTTATTATTAGATAGGATGCTGTATGTGTTTTCCGATGGTCTCGACCCACAGGCTGAGAACCGCTGCGAGCAAAGTGAGCCTGGAGCAAGTTACTATTGTGGATGGGGGATGGAGGGAAAGCAAAGGTGAGAAACAGAAGTCAGAGTGTCGAGGAAAAATTAAAAGGAAGGTATCCTGCAACTTCTAAGAAATCTCCAACAGTGGAGCAAAGAAAAAAAAAAAGACCTCTATTACTCTGTGAGCACCAAGCCAAACTGGGTTGGGGTCTCAGACAATTCGCTCATATGATTGTAAAGACAAATAGAAACTCCCAGATTGGAGAGGGTGCAGGTCGGGCTGAGGGACCCACCCCCCCATGCACAAATCTTCGTGCACTGGACCCCCAGTATACAAATAATATCAAAAAGCTTAAAATAAATAATAGCATTTACCCTGCCTCAACTATCCCCTTCCCCAATTTAAAGGGCCAGAAGTACCTACCTTCAATTCCTTTGACACTTTTTACTGGTATTTGTTGACATATTTCTAATTATGTGCTTTTACAATTATTACTGGATTTATCAACTTTGACACATTAGTTTTCTGTAATGGTAGATGAGGATTTAATTTCCTTACATTATTACCATTATATCTTTACTTCCCTCTTCATATTTTCACAGTGTGATTTTTATCATAACTTTCAATTAAATTGTTATTCATTGTGTACATTATTATAATGATATAAATATTGTTCCCTGCCAATTAAAATAATGTACTCTGATTTCATTTCCTTCCTTGTATATCTTATTTTTTTTTTTCTAGAGTTAGTAATTTATCTGTTTCTTTTCATTTGTTTGCTTATTTAGGTAACTATGGTTAATTCCTCCCTCTTTTTCCAGCATCCTTATTAGTCAAACCAATGAGATTACCTATCATTTTTTTTTATTCCCTGCTTATCTCCCTATTGAGCCTTAATTCCTTCTCTTCCAATGTGGACTCGTGGTTCTGTTATTGCTGCCCAGCTTTCTTCATTCTGTATTGAATACTCTTATTCCTGGATTCCGTGTCTGTCTCTATTACTTTTTTTAAATTTTCATCTTTATTAAGGTATAATTAACAAATAATTCCTCTTTCTTACTTTACTCCCTCATTTTGCTGGAGGGCATCTTCTAGGAGTTTCATGAGAATGTGTTATAGGAAAACGTTTTTTTCTTTAATCCTCATTGAGGAATGAGACTATTTTTTTCCATTGATTTTAGAGAAAGTGCAAGGCAGGGAGGAGGGGCAGAGAGAGAGAGAAAAAGAAACATCAATGTGAGAGAGATACATTGATTGGTTGCCTTCCACGTGCCCAGGGATTGAACCTGCAATTAGGTGCACAGGCCAATACTCTAATCATTGAGCAGCGCTGGCCAGGGCAGGAAAACATTTTTTAAATTGATTTCTTATTTATTTTATTTTTACATTTATTTATTTATTTTAGGAAAACATTTTTTGATATTTCACTTGGAAAGATACATCTTTATCCTATACTTACCCTTCATTAATAATTTGGTTATAGATTCTAGATTGAAAATTATTTCCTCTCGGGATTTTTCAGGTCTTTTTCACTTTTAGCTTTCAGTGTTAAAAATTAATGGTTTAAAATTTGATGCTATTCCTAATTCCAGTTCATTATTTGTGACACATTGTTTTTCTCTCAGGAAGATTTTAAGATCTTCTCTTTTTTCATATGCTCTGAAAGTTATATGATGATGTGCCATAGTATGAGTTTTTTTACTTGGTGGGCCTCTTTCCAAACCAGAGATTCACATCTTTAGTTCTGGAAAATTGTTTTACACCTTTTTTTAAAATACTTTTTTTTTATTATCATATAGAAAAATTGACTTCTTAGGGGGGTATAGTACAGTTCCATGAATTTTAACTTATTTTTTATGCAACCACCACCACCACAGTCAAGATACCTAAATATCCCATCACTTCAAAAAAAGCTCCTTTTTCAAATTATACTTACCCCTCACCTCCTATTTTGTTCTCCATAGTTTGTCTTTTCTAAAATGTCAGATAAATGGAATCATATAAGCATTTTCATGTTGATTTCTTTCACCCAATTTGAAACCTTCCCATGTTTGTTTTTTCACTTTTCAGAAAATTTCCTTTGTCCTATATACCTTAATTGAACAATAATATCTTTTAGATGATCATATAGTCACAATAAGCTTCCTAGTTTTAAGGAAGTTAATAAAATATCTTGAAGGGTTTTTACCAGGAGTGAAAAGTGAGATACCTTGCAGCTCCTGGTAGTCAGGTCACGGGTTTTTTTTAATGGATCTTGGTTCTGTTCCTACAGTATGGAAACATGTGCATCTCTAACTTGTTCTTTATACAGACTATGATCTGATCCCTTTGTTATCCCCATCTTTCTCTGGTATCAGGCCTTCAACTTTCTGTAGTTCTGTGAGGAGTCAAACACCTTGCTTTCATTAGTATTCCTGTCTGTAGCATCTAGATTTCATTTTATAGCACTTTGCTATATCACTTAATCACTAAGAAAGAATGGAAGTAAATACTTATATTAAATCCACTATATTTCACTAGAAGCGCCTGTCAAAATTGTCTTGTTTTGAAATATCATTAATTGTTTGTTTCCATTTTATCTCTTTGCAGAGCTGGCAGAGTTGCCTTTGATACGGTTAGACTTCTCCTGCAATAAAATTACAACAATCCCTGTTTGTTATCGGAACCTCAAGCACCTACAGATGATTGCCCTAGATAACAATCCATTACAGTCTCCTCCCGCACAGGTAAATCATCGTTTATTTGAAGTATGTTATGAACTTTTTCGACAAAGAATGAAACTTATGCATTTGTCTTTCTGTTGGAAATTAAGTTCTTTTAAAATAAATGCACACACTTATGTATTCGTTAGAAGCCTTGACTAAATAGTGTGGAAGATAGGTACAGTGTCCAGAAGTGTTTTTTCCTTTCATTAAATTGACTTTTTAAAAAACTTGCGGGATTCTTCTGTAAAGTTCTTTCTAATGAAATTTGAGTTAATTTTTTTCTGGTAAAATTTGAATCTAGAGACAAATAAAAATACTTAGCTTTCAGAACTAATGACTATCAGCGCATCTCTTCTTACCAGTGTTTTTGTACCTTCCTGTTTTCTAAAATCTTAAGTTCCTTTATTTAGTTTGGTCATTTGCTTAGCAATGACTGAAATGAAATTGTTTTAAATAAAGTAATTATGGGTAGTGTTACATATATATTCTAAACATTGTACAATCTAAAAAATATTTACCAACCTGTAGCTTTTTTACTGTACAGTCAACTGATGGTACAAGCCTCTGTATAGCAGCTGTAAAACTTCCCTCTGAGTAAACATGATAACTATAGAAGGGTCTCATAATCCTAAAGAATTTGTGTTTTGACTTCTGGGACAGAAGCCAACAGGTAGCAACAGACATATATATAGCTTTAATATTTAAACATTTCCTGCTTTTCTTTCTGACAGAATGTACAATGGAGAACATAATAGTACATGATTGTTGGATTCCTAAAAGCAAAAGTTGCTAATATAATTCATGTGGGAGCAATGCTTTAAATTCCTGACTATGCCTAACTAATAATAAATTTACTGGATATTCTGTTTGTAATCATAAATTATTTTATATGTTACTGCGACTTATTAGTATCTAGAAAATAGAACCTATATTTATATCATTTAAATACCTAAAATAACAAATAATATAATTTGTTAAAATGAGTGTTAGATTTTTAGTATTTGTACTTAATAGAAATGCCTTCTGTTTCCAATATACATTAAGTAAAAGGCTGATTGTGATTAAAAAAGGGACACATTTCAGATGAGTAACAATTTGATTGCATGTATGTGTTACTTTATTTAGATATGCATAAAAGGCAAAATTCACATATTTAAGTACCTGAACATACAAGCTTGTAAGATTGCTCCAGATCTGCCAGATTATGATAGGAGACCCTTGGGTTTTGGCTCCTGGTGAGTATGTTCTTTTTTTTTTTTTAATTATCGTATTCTATCTCACAAGAAATAAAATATACTAGACCCTTAAATCTGCCTGAATGTTTGACTATAAGGAAATGACCTATTTTGACACTATTTTTCTCAGAATACTTATATTAAGTAAAATGTTGATTAGTTAGATAATGGCAAAGCGTAGTTCTAATTAGGGTTTCTCAACCTCAACACTGTTATTTTGGACCAGTTAATTCTTTGTTGTGAGGAGCTGTCCTATACATTGGAAGATATGTAGCAGCATCCCTGGCTTCTATTGTACTCTCCCAGTATGACAAACAAAAATATCTCTAGACATTGCCAAATATCCCCTCAGGGGGGTGGAGGGGGTCTGCAATTGAAAACCACTGGTCCGAGTGATTTGAATATTAACCTAGCTCTTCTCTTAACTAGCTCTGTGATTTAGGCAAGTCTCTCAAACTTTTTGTGCTTCATTTTTCCTATAGGGAGTGAAGAGATTGGATTTGATGACTATTGATGTCACTTTGGGATCTAAAAAATCAATTACAGAAAAGATGTTCAAAAAATAAAAGTAGCTTTTATTTTATATATACCAATTGATTTTTCTCCCCTGGAGTTAGTAATTCTTGCTAAGTTAAAGTTTTTCCCCCTGTGAAATAACAGAATAGGAACATTAAACTGCTACTCTACCTTTTAGATTTGAGTGTAAGACAATTAATAGTGCGTCCTGGTAGCTACATGTGAGGGTAGCCTAAAGACACTAAGGAGGAAGTATAGTCACCTATACGAATAATGAGCGTTAGCTAGGGGCTGCAATGCTAATTGTAGACCCCGTGATTCTGTCCTTTGTCTTAGCCCAATTTTTTTTTACTATAGCAATCATCATCAGATTACTTTAAAATATACATAAAAAACAATAATAAACCAACAAGAGACTTGTGTGTTTCTAAGAGATAAAAGAAAGTTTAGATCAGTGGAGAAACCTTTCCTAAATGCAAAGTCTAAACAGCAAAAATATGCCATGTCTCTCCAAAGGAGTTATGATACTTTATTTGTAATGGTTTCACAATGTGCTAGAAATTTTAAAATATACATATATGTATACTGGGACCCAGTGCACAAAATTTGTGCACCGGTGGGGTCTCCAGGCCTGGTCGGTGATTAGGGCTGATCAGGGCCGGGCTGATTGGGGCTTGCTGGCCATGGGGAGGGACAGGGTGTGGAAGGTTGGCCACCAACCCAAGAAAGGAGCTGGTCCTTGGCCCCCGTGGGAAAGGGGCTGCATCCACCGCCACCCACCCCCGGTTCCCCATCCCAGTCTAGGGCCCGGAGAGGAGGCTGTGGTCGCCAGACCAGGTGCTGACGCCGGAACCCCACTACCACGTGGTTCCGCGCCTCCCCACCTCCTCCTTCCTTCGATGCCTTGCCGCCACCATGGGGGAGGGACAAGACATGGGAGGTTGGCTGCCGGCCCCCCTGGGAAAGGGGCGGTGACCACTGCCACCCACCCCCAGTTCCCTGTCCAGCCCTGGGGCCCGGCCCCAATTGGGTGATCAGGGCCTGCTGGCTTGGGGGAGGAACCACGGGAGGTTGGCCACCCGGGAGGGAAGGACTGCAGGAGGTTGGCTGACCAGGGGAAGTTGGCTGTGGGGGTGCACTGACAACCAGGGAGCAGCTCCTGCATTGAGGTCTGCCCCCTGGTGGTCAGTGTGCGTCATAGCTACCAGTTGTTCCTGTCGTTCTGGTTGTTCCATCACTTAGGCTTTTGTATATATAGATAGATAATTTATATAGTTACATATACATAAAATATTTCCTTAAACTCCTCATGCACCAGTGAATGAGATATTATCCTTTCATATCTTTCCCACTGGGGTACAGATTAGTGAAATTGCATTGTAATTTATTCAAAATGCCGTCATAGAGTTAGAATGTTTTGGTTCTAGCTGTGAATCCCCGTACTATTGGGCAGTTCACTTAACCCCTTTGAACCCCCATTTCTTTGATATGATCTTTACCCTCTTTATACTCTAACAGTAGTCCTGAGGATCAAATGACCTGTGTGTGAAAGTGTTATACTGACCATAAAGCCTTCCTATCTAATAAAAGAGAAACATGGTAATTAGCGTAAGACCGCTACCCTTCCCATTGGCTAATCAGGGCGATATGCAAATTAACTGCCAGCCAAGATGGCGGCCGGCAGCCAGGCAGCTTAAACTGAACATGAGGCTTGCTTGCTTCAGTGGCGGAGGACTCCAACGTTCCCCACCTGCCTTGCTGGCCTCTGAGCCTGCAGTTTGAAACATTGTTACAAATATAGAAGCTAAACAAAACCCCAGAAACCTGCTTTCAGCCAGCCGGGATCTCAG